TTTTACGAAACCATGTAGAGTCATGCTTAGTTACCAGTTTGAAGACTTAGAACCAAAGCTGGCCCAAACAGCCACCTTTCCCTTTATGCCTAGGTCCACACCTTCATCTTGGCACTCTGTGCCTTATCATGGATGAATTCCATGGATGAATGTAAAACAAGTCCAAGGGAGGGAAAGAGACTTTCTAAGACCTAGAACTTAAATAGTTTAATTTCCCCATCCCAAAACAACTCATGCCCTGGTAGATTCTCTCCAGGACCAGTGCCAGACTGATTTTACCAACTCCGTAGACCAAAGAGAATATGAAAAGAGACTGGATTTCAAGGAAAAAAAAAATAGATCTGTAGCATCATGGTCCAATAAATTGTTGGGATTGTTATAGCTTTGTAGGTTTATATGTAAAATGGGCCCAGCCAAGTGCCTGGCAAATATAGGTAATAAGTAAAAGTTATTTATCATCATGTTTCTGTCTGGTCTTCACCTGGCCAACCTTTAAATGTTGTTGTTTGACAGAGCCCTAATTCTTGTCTTGCTTTACTTAGTCTTCCTAGGGAATTAAATGTATCCTCTTGGCTTTCACTATCTGCCCATTCCCAGACCTCTCTACCTGATATCTCAGTATATGAAAAGCACCATATGTCAATAAGTGAGTTTCTTACCTGCCCCACCCACACACCCGTCCTGTGTTCCTAATTCCCACCAATGGCATTGACACTCTCAGTTTCCCAAAGCCAACGCCTGAGACTCGTCCTTGACCCTCAATTTCCTCCACCAGTCCCCACATATCAAACCCCTGCAAATGTCTAGAATATATTCACTTTTCTTCATTCCCACCTGACAGCACTAGTAAACTCTTACATGACTTTTTGAAATAAGTTCCTGGCTGGTTTCCCTCATTGGCTCCTTATAGTTCATTCTGTTCTTTGCAGCTCTGGTGATCGTTCTAAACCCCACATGTGTTCATTTGTTTCTTCCCCTCCTGTGGCTCCTTATTGCCTGCTTGACAAAGTCCACACTGTTTAAGGTGGCTTACAGGATCCTTCATGATTTGGTCCTTCTCTACCTGTCTAAACTTACTCCCTATCCTCCCCCACTACCCATGTTTCAGCTACACTGAATTTCTTTGGTTTCTCTAAAGCACTTTGTTGTCCAGAGGCTTTCTGGCATGCTGTTCTCTGTACCTGGGAGACTCTCCGTTCACTGCCTGCTCCTACTCATCATTCAGGCCTCTCCTTACCTATTGCTGCTTCTCAGAAACCTGCCCTGATGCTCCAGGGTTAAGGGAGGAGCCTTACTTGGTGTACGCTTTAACTCCAGCCCTTTCATAACATGGCTCACACTGGCTAGAGATTTACCTCTTAATTTGTTCACGTCCCTCACTGGATTGGAATTTCCTTGAGGTCAGGGATCATGTCCTATTCACTGTAGGATTTCTGGTGCCTAGAATAGGTGTTGGGCACATAGATGATGTTCAATAAATGTTGATTGAGTAAATAAAGGATTCTTTCATTTCATATGTAATATATCATGAAAACAGCCTTGTGATTGACACACAACAGGTACCCATTTTGGTAACGAGGATACTGAACCTTAAGAAGTCCGCAGGCCTTGGCTGGGATTACCGGAGGATGCAGGAACAGAGCTGCATCCCTGACTTCCAGTTCACAGGCTACTGAAGCCCAGTGAGCAGTCTGAGCGTTGTCCATAATTTAAGTACCATGTCTGTTGGTTTTAGAATGAAGGCTTTTTTGGGTAACTGTTTGCTTTTTAGACTACTTACAGAATAGTTTCCGTCCGTACACATTCATAGTCAGGTAAGTCATTTTGGAGAGCAAGCTAAATAGCAGAAATAATGGCCTTTTAAGTTGAAATTTGCCCTGAAAAACCTGCAGAGTAGCTAAAGGAGTATTAAAAGGAGTTGACAGTGTCTATTTTTATAACTGCCACTAGTGGACTATTCAGGCAAACCACTATTCACTTTTCTGATTTTTTTCATGTTTACTTGTCACAAAAGCAAACTCTTGCTCCATAATAACATTCCAGAGTACAGCAATTGCAAAAGTCAACATTTTGAATAAAATGCCTGATCTTTTACAGACTGCTAGGTATTTTTTTAGTTTGATATGTTACAAAACAAAATTTATTCTTTCTTCACAGCAATTTGGGAAGTACCTACAATTTATTAGCTCAACAGCATGATGCTGGCAATTCTTTTGTCCTAATGTTCTTTATATCCACACACTGTTGATGTGTTTGTCTATTTTTAATGCTAATGTCCATATATTTTTACTTTTAAACTACTGCAAAATGGGTTATGATGATAGTATTAATATTATATTGTGAATATATATATATGTGTGTATATATATATATTTTTAAAGGATTCAGCTGCTAGTGATCACTAAAATAGGTGATCTCTATACAGATCCATTTCTGTCTTTTTTCCTCCCAAAGTGCTTACCTCTTTGAACAGTAACTTCTCACTTATTATTTTTCTCATCTGGACTATAATTTCCTTCAAGGCAGAGTGTCATTCAACTTTGAATCCCTGGGTCTCTCATAATACCTAGAATTTTAAAAAACTCTCATTAAGAGTCTATTGAAGGAACATATGACTAAGCAGTCATCTATATTTAAATGATCAGTAGACAAATTTAAGCCACTCTTATCAGCATATACAGTTAGTAACAATAACTTCATATCTTTTCCAAAACAATTGCTAGTCTATCTTGCTTTCTGTTGTCTCTCCAAAGCCTATTACAATGTCTGGCAGAAGATAGGTACTTGATAACTTTGTTAAATGTTCACTGACTTAAAAATTTAAAGTTATATTAACTTATATTGACCTTTCTCTAGTCAATATGATTCTAAAAGGTATTTTTTACTGTGCTTCATAGTGAATAAAACAAGGAGATAGGAATGTTGCAAAATACCTTCCCAATACCTAATCATCTCTCTGTCATTCATTTTTGAAATTCTGTTCTCTAAATATTGACAGTGTTTAATTATTTACTACTAATAAAGCATTTCATCTGAGGAAAAATATACTTTGCTCAGTTCTTTACCACAGGAAAGTGCAAAGTATAATACAGTGAAGTAGCTTTCATAATATGGCCTTAAAAATTAGTGTATGATTGGTATGACTCTAGAAGAATACCACATTGTTACCAAAATCTCAGTCCTGTTACTGTGGGCATGATTTAACTTCATAGCCTTGTACTGCTCCATACTAGCTTACTTCCCAAGGCAACTGGGGAAGGGAAAATCTTACAAACTTTATTGTGATGCTAGGGCAGTGTTTCAGTGACTGAGCCTGTGTCCTTAGGGTTTTTCCAGGCTCCAACAATACTAACTGTTACCATGTATTAGGCGCTTATCACATGCCATGCTCTGTGGCAGCCTCTTTTTACGAATTATCTCAGTAATCTCCTAACAACCCTTTGAGATCAATACTATTGTTTTCTCCATTTTTTACATGTGAGATAAATGAGACTTGAAATAACACACCTGACATCATGAGCATATGAGCAGAAGTGTGCAGATTCAAAGGCAGTTCTGTTTGACTTCAGAGCTCCAGTCTTAGCCAATTTTTTTTGATGGTTAATTTTGCTTAAAAAGAAATCTTCAAGTGCTGCTTATAAACAGTAAAGGAGTGACATCCCTATTAGTGTTGGGGAACTTCTAATTTTATCATTTGCTTTGGGGGGGATTTTATAGAGTCTTGAAGATTCACAGATGAAGTGATATGTTTTAGATCACACTCTGTAATGGTGGAGCTAAAACCAGCACTCACTCATTCATCCTTAGGTTTTGATTCCTTTATCATTCATCAAAACTCTGCTTTGTCCTTTATCATTCATCAAAACTGAGCTCTAGAATGCTGCATTCTAGAGCTCAGTACATATTTGATGAAAAAATGAATTAATGTGTTGAGGCTGATAACTTTAGTACTGGGGACACAGAGCTGAAGAGCATGTCTGTACCCCCAAGAAGGTTAACAGGGAAACTTGCACAAATACTGCTATCACTAGGTGCCCTAAGGGATGATCAAGGATATTCAGAAGGATACTTCAGGCTGAGCAATGTCAGCTTGAGAACATCAAGGTGTTTAGGAAACTATAAGCTGATTTGGTACTGCTGGAAATAAGAGTAGTGGAGGCTCCATTCTGGATGCCTTATAAACCAGGTGAGAGAGCTTAGATTTTATTCCATCAGGAGGAGAACTACCATAGGATTTAAAACAGAGAAATGATATGGTCACACCTACATTTTAGGAAGATCCCTAGGGGGTGGACTGACAATTTGACCAATTGAGATTTGTAGGATAATGCCTAAGAGTTGATGATACCTGGACTAGGGTATCTGTAATTTTTATCAGTGTTTACAGTCAGTTTTTATGAATTCAGGAGATGAATAGTGATTTGCCATATGTAATTTTAAAAACCTTCCCAGTTGATTCTTTTATACTATCTCTCATCCTCTGTTATGACACAGCAGAGAATAGGAGGTGGTGTAAAGAATGCTGCATACCCCCATCCTCTGTGTTGCATTCTGTCTTCTACTGTCTACACAGGATGCTATAATGAAGGGAGTAACAGCATCCTATACACATTATCTTTTCCAGCATGCATTCAATTGTGTTGTAATTATTTATGTCCATCTTCATAAACTCTGAGCCTTGCAGGAGCCTCGAGCCATTTATCATTTCCTGAATGCCTACTGGGATGCCTGGTACATAATAGGCATTCATTGAAAATTTCCTGAATGTATGAAGTACAGAGATGAAACAAGTCATAGACTGATCCTTTAGAGCTGCGAAGATTATAAATAGACTTTTGCTCAATCCAATTCAAATAGTGGGAGTTGGAGGAGGGGTGGTGTGAAAAATTTATAACTCCTTTGTTTATTTTTAGAATGCCAACCTCTCAAGTATTTTTTAACCGTCTGGCATCTGAACTACTCCCTCTAACGACAGTATTTTCCCTCTTTCTTTTCTACAGGTTGGACTCAGATCTGTGATAGAACAGTTTCCTGGGAAGCTTGATTTTGTCCTTGTGGATGGAGGCTATGTCCTAAGCCATGGCCACAAGCAGTTGATGTGCTTGGCCAGATCTGTTCTTAGTAAGGCAAAGATCTTGCTGCTTGATGAACCCAGTGCTCATTTGGATCCAATGTGAGTTACAGAAATCCTGTCATTTAATAGCATAGTGGGAGCAGAATTATTGAGACCTACTTCATAATGACACATATTCCTGTTAGGCTGGCGTGTCTGCAAGTGGGAGATTCAATATGAAATAATTGCCCAGTAAAATGTTACTACTTGGCTGGGCACGGTGGCTCACGCCTGTAATCCTAGCTCTTGGGAGGCCGAGGCGGGCGGATTGCTCAAGGTCAGGAGTTCAAAACCAGCCTGAGCAAGAGCGAGACCCCGTCTCTACTATAAATAGAAAGAAATTAATTGGCCAACTGATATATATATATATAAAAATTTAGCCGGGCATGGTGGCGCATGCCTGTAGTCCCAGCTACTCGGGAGGCTGAGGCAGAAGGATCGCTCGAGCCCAGGAGTTTGAGGTTGCTGTGAGCTAGGCTGACGCCACGGCACTCACTCTAGCCTGGACAACAAAGCGAGACTCTGTCTCAAAAAAAAAAAAAAGTCACTACTTGACATGAGCTCCAATGCTTATTTACTTGAATAAGAGCCCTGTGTTCTCTTATAGTTTGGAATGTCACACAAATTCTTCCTCCATGTCAACACATGGTGAAATATTTAGACACATGGGCATAACCTGATTCTTATGATGTTTCTTTATATTCCATTTATACCATAAACACATTTATAACACAAAATAAAGAACTGCTGGTGATTCTGCATAATGAAAAGTATACTTATTTATGAAATTTTCTTCAAAATATTTGTCCTGTTTATTTATGAAGAACTGACTCCATGGTTGGAAAGTTGATTGGGGCTAACTATATAGCCATATTATAAGTATTTAAAGAAAGAAGTAATGTTAAAGAACTAAATTAATAGAACAATTTATCATATTATCAAGGGTAACGTCAGATTATTCATGTTTTGTGATGTTATGTATGTTTTTTTCTTTCTTCTTAGAACATACCAAATAATTAGAAGAACTCTAAAACAAGCATTTGCTGATTGCACAGTAATCCTCTGTGAACACAGAATAGAAGCAATGTTGGAATGTCAGCGATTTTTGGTGAGTCTTTGTAAATTTACTTTTAGATCTCATTTCCCTTGATAACAATCTCATATATTCCTTCAAATAGCAGCAGTATATAAATTCTTCCTTAAAACATGTGTTATACAGCCATCTAGCTTTACTATAGCTTTAAAATAGCTGCACAAGTTTTTCACTTTTATCTGAGCCTACTAGGTGAGGTTAAAATTCAGTAAGTCTAAATTGGTATCATATCACTAAGATCCATTAACAAATAGAATATTTATACTTTTTGAGCCCTTTATTTGGAGACAAATACTATTTTTTAAAAAGTCCTTCTGATTCTTTCAATAGCTTAGTCTCCCTTGGAAGGCATTCAGGCCAGGCCAGGTTGTCTTATACTCTGATTTATGGTTTTAATGTGGTAGTTAAGAAGTTCCATTTTTCTAGTCATTATTTGAAGCTCAGGTTAGTGCCTCTCTCAACCACCTTCTAATTGGGATTTCAAAACTGTCACACATTCTTTCAAGTAATGTTTACGAATTCCCTATGCTTTAGTCACAAGGAAGTTCTGAGGATGATGCATTACGTTGTTTCTGTTAAGGCTTTTGAGCCTCCCAGAGGTAAATGCTTTCCTTACTGAAGGACTGTAATTACCATTATTATTACTAAGCATGAAGTGACAAATTAGGGGGCAGACTCCCAACCTCTCAGGAGGTTGGGTAAAGCCCTCTGTCCTCTGGCCTTGGGTTTGTGCAACCTCAGCATGTACAAGAGCCATATTAAACTCAGGCACATCCTGACCAGCTTGGAATTAACTAAGCTTCAGATCCACTGTTGAAGAGGTTCAACTCTTCCGGTGCTGTGGACTTACACTCATTTTTAAGGTGAATAGATAAGGAGTCTAACATGAATTATTCTTGTTTTCAAAGTACCCTCGGTTCCTCTAAAGTTCCCTAAAGAAGCATGTTGCCCAGTACTATACTAATTAAAAAAAAAATTCTTCCAGCCACTAAGTCGAAAATTACAGCTAATTTCACAGATGGTAGAACCTCCTTAAAGGAAGAAGACACAGCAGTTAAATAGGATAGACCAGATTGTTCAAAACGCAAGGCTCTGGACACTGTGCATTCTTTTGGCTTTTATTTTCCTTCGAGCCTTATGCCAGTTTCTGTCCCTGCTCTGGTGTGACCTGCTTTCTGTTCCAGATCTCACTAACAGCCACTTCCCTAGGTCATAGAGGAGAACAACGTGCGGCAGTATGATTCCATCCAGAAACTGCTGAGCGAGAAGAGCCTCTTCCGGCAGGCCATCAGCCCCTCAGACAGGATGAAGCTCTTCCCCCGCAGGAACTCAAGCAAGCACAAGTCTCGACCCCCCATCACTGCTCTGAAAGAGGAGACAGAAGAAGAGGTGCAGGATACCAGGCTGTAGAGAGCAGTGCAAATGTTTGCATGGGACATTCACTCATGAAGTCAGAGAAGGAAACAGTTGCCTCTGCCTCAGAAAACAAGGATGAATAATGTTTAAAAAAAAAAAAAAAAAGGAAACATTTTGGTAAGAAGAATTGAGGACATTGAGGACGTTCATATGGGTCTGGATAAAGGGCTTCCTGGCAATGGCTGAATTAATGTGAAAGGTACTACAAGTCCTTGAAGATTTACCACTTCTGTTTTGCAAATCAGATTTTCCTAAAAACCTTTGCCCTTTGGTAGTAGTTGGAAAGGCAGCTATAAATGTCAATCAGCTTAGTTCAGTTTATTTGTTTAGTGAAACGTGTTAGTTTGTAGTATGGGAGAAGAACTGAAATCATACCACTTACAGTTATGATTAAATAATGATAACTGGGCACTTTAGTATAAACATTTATACAAATTTATATCCCTTTTTCTCTCCTCTCCCAAAGATATTTAGAAACACAACTATATTGTCTGCTAAGCATTCTGTCTCATTTCCAAGCAAGTATTAGAATACTGCAGGAATCACAAGACAGCCATCAAAATATACACCATTCAACATCTAGTGATCAGTGAGGAAAGAGAACTTCCAGATCCTAGAAATCAGAGTTGGTACCATCCAGCTCTACCAAAAATCTGAATAATTCAGATACTCAGAATACACCCCTTACCTGGGAAAAAGGCTGTTACAGTCTCATGTAGAGGACAGGAGAGCTTCCTTGATGTGGAAGGTGACATGCCTTTCCCCAGCCTCCGGAAAGTAACAAGCTCATAAAACCCTTAATTGCAGAATGGCTGGAAAAGTGTGTTAGTGCAAACTGGCGCAGGAAAATCCTTCTTGCCACAGAAACTCCAGGTAGAGGGTGTGTAGGTAGACAGGCCCTGGGTGCTGTGAGTAGATGCACATGAAATCCAAGCATCTAGCATAGGGTTATGGTTGTCTGTTTTCAGGCTAGCTGTAAGTGCTCATACTGTCTACGTTGAGTGGGGAGAGAATGGGAGACACCCTGAGGAAGAGTCAATCACGAATTAGTTTTATATGCTTCTGTTTTATAATTTTGTGATGCAAAACATTTTCTCTAGGAAATATTTATTTTAATAATGTTTCAAACTCATATATAAAAATTCTGTATTTTAAGAATGATTATACTATGAATTATATTTGTATAAAAGAATTTTTATATTTGAAATGTTGACTTTTTATGGTACTAGCTATTTTTATGATATATTATGTTAAAACTGGGGGGAAAAGTGAGGGTGATATTGACTAGGGGCCATGAATCACCTTTATGCTGTGGAGAGAAGCATGGGGGCTGATGTGGATGTTGCACACACCTGTATGACTCTCGACCAACGCATAAGTCCCTCTTACATGTGTTCTGAAGGAAATGGTACCACCAGCCTGAAGGCTCCCCTCAAGGCCACACTGCCTTCCCAACTCCAAACTAACCCTTAAACAGACTGCATTATATTTATTACTGCAAGAAAATATCACATGTCAATAAAATCTGTATATTTGTTTGAAACAGCTGTTTCAAAGATGTGTTAATTAATCACGTCTCTTCAATCTCTTACTTCAGCTTCATGGAACAGAAAACAATGAGTCTTTCTTTTAGATGTCACCTCTTTGAGAATCCTACTTGAATTAGGACACAAATTAGAACACAATTATCTTTTTAAACTGTGGTAAAATATATATAACATAAAATTTACTATTTTAAGTACAGGTCAGTGGTATTACATTCACGTCGTTGTGCAACCATCATCACCATCCACTGACAGAACATTTTCATCTTGCAAAACGAGAACCCTTTACGCAGTAGACGGTAACTGCCCATGTCCTCCTTCCCCTAACCATTTAGCAGCCACCATTCAACTTTCCCTATGATTTTAACTACTCTAAGTACCTCTTAGCAGTGGAGTAATACAGATTTTGTCTTTTTGTGATTGGTTTATTTCGCTTGGCATAATGCCTTCCAGGCTCATCTATGTTGTAGCCTGCACCAGCAGGCTTTTCTTCCTTTCTACGGCTGAGTAATGTTCGTTATCCTTGACCGATATGTTCCAAGACCGACCCAGTGGATGCCTGAAACCTCGGTTAGTACTGAATCCTGTATATACTCTGCTATGCCTTTTCCATACACACATATCAACAATAACGTTTAATTTATAAATTAGGCACAATAAGAGATTAACAACAGTAACTAATAATAAAATAGATCAATTTTATATAATATACTATAATAAAAGGTGTACGAATGTGGTCTCTTTCTCTCTAAAAATAACTTGTTATATTGTACCACAGGTAACTGAAACTGCAGAAAGCTAAACTGCAGCTAAGGGAGGATGACTATGACTATATCTATCTATCTATCTCTCTCTCTCTCTATATATATATATATAGAGAGAGAGAGAGAGAGAGAGAGATAAGCAAAATGTGGTGTATATATGTATACACCACATTTTGCTTACCCATTCATCTGTCAATGGGCACAGGTTGTTTCCACCTTTGGAATAGGGTGAATAATGTTTCCATGAACATGGGTGTACAGATATCTCTTCATGTCTCTGCTTTCATGACTGAGGCCACTTTTAAAGTTATTTTTTGTTTTAAAATGGAGGCTTATAGAACACAAAATATATAGATAGATAGATAGATACATAGAGATATATATTCTGCAAGTGTCCATGTATTTCTTTGAAAACTTATTCAAATAGTGGTAGCTATTTGATAGTTCTTGATAAGTTAAAAAAAAAAAACCTCATCAAAAAAATATTAATACTATTTGTACACTAAACCCTGGATGGCTTTTCTTTGTCCAAATTTCTGTTTATAATTGATGAGGCTTCTTTGGTCCTCTTATATTCCTTGTGGAGCTTCCTCATGAAAGATGCAGGTGCGGGCGGACAGTAGATCCCTACTGAATTTCAGGCCCTCCCGCCCTGTGTTCTCTTGTTTGAAAGGTTTGTTTTCACACATGACCCCAAGAGGGCAATCTCAAAGTATAGTCTAATTCTTTTTTAAAAAAATTTCTCTTCACCAGCTGCATTTAGCCCAAAAAAAAAAAAAAAAAAAAAAAGAAAAGAAAAGAAGAAACAGGAAACACTCTGGGAAATGTATTTAATTCTTGACGTGAGCTTGGGCTAAGGCCACGGAACAATACCCCAGGCAGCGAGACTCTATTATAAAAAAAAAAAAAAAAAAAAAAAAATTTCTCAACTTTATTTTTTAGGGAAGTTTTATGTTTACAGCAAAATCGAGCAAAATGTACAGTCTTCCCCTATATCCCCCGCCTCTATACATGCATAGTCTCCTCCACTGTCAACATCCTACACCAGCGTGGTACATTTGTTATAGCCAATGAACCTAAATTGACACATCATTACCACCCAAAGACAATAGTTTACATTAGGGTCCATTCTTGGTGGTGTACCTTTTATGGGTTTTGACAAATGTATACCAACATGCATCCACCATTATAGAATCATACAAAGTAGTTTCATGGCCTTAAAAATACTCTGTGCTCTGCCTATTCATCCCTCCTCTTCCCCTAACTTTTGACAACTACAGATCTTTTTATTGTTTCCATAGTTTTGCTTTTTCCAAAATGTCATTTAGTTGAGATCATGGAGTGTATGGCCTTTTCAGATTGGCTTCTTTCACTTAGTAATATGCATTTAAAGTTCCTCCATGTCTTTTCATGGCTTGGTAGCTCATTTATTTTTAGTGCTGAATAATATTCTATTGTCTGGATGTACCACAGTTCATCCATTCACCCACTGAAGGACATCTTGGTTGCTTTAACATTTTGGCAGTTTTGAATAAAGCTGCTAAAACATCTGTGTGTATGTTTTTTGTGTGAATATAAATTTCAACTTCTTTGGGTATATACCAAGGAGTGTGGTTGTGGTATCATATGTAAAAGTATGTTTAGTTTTGTAAGAAACTGCAAACCATCTTTCAACGTGGCTATGCCATTTTTCATACCTACCATAACAAATGAAAGTTCCTGTTGCTCCTTACCTTTGCCAATATTGGGTGTTGTCAGTGTTTTTGAATTTGGCCATTCTATTAGGTGTGTAGTGGTGTCTTATTGTTTTTTTAATTTTCATTTCCCTGATAACATATGATGGGGGTATCTTTTCATACACTTATTTTCCAACTGTATATCTTCTGTGCTGAGGTATCTATTAAGGCCTTTGGTCCAGTTTTTAGCTTATTTCTTGTTGTTGAGTTTTAAGAATTATTTTCATGGATTTTTTTCTTATGATTAGTGTTAGCATGTTATAACTGTATTTATCCCTTTAATAATCTATATGGGGCTTTAAATTTAAGTGGGTTTCTTGTAGATATCATATAGTTGGGTCTTGTTTTTTGATTGACTCTTAAAATTACTGTCTTTTAATTGGTCTATTTAAACCATTGACATGTAAAGTGATTATTGTTACAGTTGGATTTATATCTACCATATTTGTTACTGTTTTATGTTTGTTGCCCTTGTTCTTTGCTCCCATTTGTATTTTCCACTGTTTTCTGCTTTTTAAAGTTTTATTGCTCATTTTATGTGTCCATTTTTTTCCTTTCTTAGCATAGTAATTCTACTTCTTTTTTTTACTTTTTTTAGTGGTTGCCCTAGAGTTTGCAATAAACATTTACAAGTAATCCACTTCCCTTTAAATAACACTATTCCACTTCACAGATAGTACAAGTACCTTAAAATAACAAAATATTTCTAATTCCTCCCTCCTGTCCTTTTTAGCATTGTTGTTATTCATTTCTTTTATATAAAAGCTTACATATACACTAACACTTGACTTTTCCTCATATCATATTTTCTTCCCTCTTCTTTTTCATTTTTTAAAATGAAAACTATTTTAGCCACAGACTTATTATTTTTATCTATTTGTTTTCTATATTCAGGTCATGAGTTTGGGGCTTTACCTGTCACAGTCTGTGCCTACTCCTAACACACACTTTCTTAGCCCTTTCACTTTGTTTATCCTCATTATGGAAAAAAAAAGCGCAAAAGCTTAAATGAATACACTTCCTTCCAGTAACCAAGGGCTTTCCAGAATTGGGAAATTGCTACCTATTAGAGTGAAATGCTAATAAAACCTCCAAAGTAAATATTTTAGTAGTTCGCTAAAGAAAGAACTACAAATACTGTGTGGAAGACAATTTAGAATGAGGTTCAAAGAGCTCAATATAGAAACCTGTTTGACCTGTTAGAACAGGTGTGGAAAATCACTATTCTTTATTAAAAGATATAGTGAAAAAAACTATAAATGCAAGATAAATACATTGAGGCATGAGAACTCCCAATCAAGGATTTGGGAGGTATAAGCTGCTCCCAGAGTGTAGATCCTGAGACACCCAAGTCACTGTCAGTTGACAGGGAACAGATAGTCAATATCAGTGTACTTTCTAAGAGAAAGGAGATTTGTTGGCAAAATTTGGGGGTTTATAAAAGTTGAATTTTTGTAGTGGGAGTATTCATTTGCTTTTTAATAACTCAGTTTCTCTAGTTGTAAAATGGGATAGTGCATTGTGAAGTATGGTTAAAGATTTTTAAGTGAATATGCTAATTCTGGCCTTTAATTTCATGTAGCAAAATAAATTAAGAAAGCAATAATTCTAAATAGTTACTTGGATCAAAAGGTTTGGTACAGTTCTAATAAATCTTTCACCCATCAAAGTACAAAATCTGTATAAAAAGTACAGCTCGACCATCAAGAACTGCCACCTTGTGGAGATTTGGTTCTATTGTTAGGAGAGCTGATTTCCCAAAAGCACACATACCAAGCACAGAAATGAGTACAAAGCCTTGCACACCAGCTTAAATGAATCTCTAAGACATTGAATCTTTAAGCCATTGTGAATACTGGAAATTAAGCCTGCATAGTTTTGGGGTATAGATCACTGTTTAACTTTGTTCTTTCCCATCTGCCTTTGCCACTGACAGAATAGTAGAAGTAATCTTTAACTGTCACTAATGACAGATGTGCTAAGAAATGGAACCAAAACTAAATTGTATCATGGTTGATAAATATTGGCACAAGTGCATTAAAAGAAGAAATGTAAAAATCTACCTTGTAATTAATCCCTATGAAATTAATGTCATAGTTTACCAAAAATTAGAATATAAAGAAATAATCTTTCTCTACTTTATTAAAAGAAAGGATCAATACATTTGGCCACAATTGATTGTGTGACCATCATTTTTGTCAAAGTTCTATAAGCTTATTAAAAACAAGACTATTTTTTTAAGACTATTTTTAAAACAACCATTTCTCTGCTCCTTTGCCTCTTCCTTGGCAGCAGTTACCAGAGGTTTATTAATATTCTATTAATAAAAGAAAAGTTGTTGTGTAAGCAAATTTGTGATGGTTGGCAATCCTCTTGTGAGGAAAAAAATTTTATTTTTATTTTCTCTTATCTCCCAGTTGGGTCCTTGAAGATCCAAAGCAGGAGACAGAGTGTCCTTGTGCAACACAGCTTCCTTCCTTCTTGGGAGCCCACCCTAGG